ATTTATATACTGCAATATCAAAAACAAAATCTCTCTTGGTGTGAACTTCCATCCACTGGTTTGGCCAGCAAACGTATCACCACTGCAATTCCTCCTTTATTTTTGAAAAGGCAGTGCAGAATAAATATGCAGCTTGTGTTTTTGTGTTCACCATAAAAAAAAAAAATCATCCATCAGAGTTATGCTTCTCCATGTACAACCAGTGACTATATAAGAGAAAAAGATTTTTTAAAAATGCTATTTTGACCAAAAAATTTTGTAGTTTCTAAAATGAAATATGTGGTCTTATTTTTAGAATAATGACCTTAAATTGTTCAGTGCAATGATCTCAGTTTAAGTGCTGCATGATGATGGTATACAATGATACCACGTTTTGAGCAGTAAATTTACTCAGTAATTTAATGCACAACATAACAGCTTAGGCTCAGACACAAATCCAAAACAACTTTCTTGACAAGACGCATGCAAGACAGCCTTTTACCTCGACCAAGGAAACAGTAAAATCCATAAGCCACCACATGCTGATGATGCAGTTTTATGAAGCTGGGTCACATCATATAAAATACACTCCAGCAATGACTTAAATTTTTGTAATCTTAACTACCTAAGGGTGTTGTGAACTTGTGATCTGTTGATAGAGTGTTGATACAACAGGTGGGACAGCCACATAAGGTAGTTGCCACAAACGTTGGTTATCTAGGTGTACACTTAAACATGTACATGCAAGTGGCATATATGTCAGGTGAAAATATCCCAGATGGCTGTATGCCAAGAGGTGCATGCCAGGTAGTGTATGCCAAGAAGGTCAAAACACAGTGCACAGTAGATCTCGTCAATAGTTTCGGTTTCACTGCCAGTAATACTACACATGTACTAAGTAATATTATATATATATATATATACAGTTACAGTACAGCTGGTGACAATTGAATACTATATATTGACATACCTGACATCATCAGCATCCACACTCTACATCTCTCAGTATTCAATACCTGTTGTGTGCTCTGTATCTAGCATACGCTGGAAACTCATGAAGAATTTACAAAGCAAATGCAATCTATTTACACGGGTAAAGCCATTTGACCTGAATCAACATCTCTTTCACGGTTGACAATGTTGACAGATAGGTTCTGTTGCCGTGCTCCATAATAAATACCGCACAGTTTCCCAGTCTTTAAATGATATCTAAATCCAATTGCAGTGGCATGATTATTGGAGAATACCACACAAGTATCACACTGATATTGTCCCTATTAATCACCCTGTGCTACTGATAGTGCACTGTAGACTTTGTTGCCTTGGTAACGCTCAAACAACTCTGGGATCAGTTCAAACCAATAGTTCCAAGGTACAAGTTTCAACTTGGAATAAGTGCAATGCACACACCCTCACTACAGCTAAATAGTGACTGTGGATTGTAAATATACCACTTCATCATCCAACTTTCTCCCTGTCAACATTAAAAGAAAATAAAATTTGAGGCTAATCAAATATGCACAGGACAAAGAGTATTCAATGGTACAGGCAAGATCAGTTTTCAGAATATGATTAATTCCTTTATTCAATTGCCTAGACAGAATTTGATTGCACTTTGCTCCTTGGTCCTTTGTTGTGTGAACTCTAAATTCCAGCATTATAAATAAAGCATAACTGTGTCTCTATATAGCAATTAATATTTAGATGCCTTCAACCACATTTCTGTCTGCCTCTTTGCAATCCCCTTCACTTTTCTTTACCTGATATTTCAAGACAGGTCAAAGAAAAAATATTATATTTTTGTAAAAAAAAAAAAAAAAAAAAAAAAAAAAAAAATCCACAGGCCAAGGTTCTGAGTAATAATTACTTGATGATCATATCACCTCTAAACAGATAAAAAATAAACAAAAATATCATTATTAAATTCCCTTTTTGTGTTTATTTTTAGTCACTAAAAAGGAGCAGAAATATTTATATTTCAACATTTATAGGTAAAGGATAGGCCAAAGATATTTCATTAATATATATTTTGATATCTAATCTTTTATAAAAACTTCAAGATGACACCTTCTTACCTATATATATATGGATATAAGCAAGAAGTATCTTATATTTCTTTTTCATACACAAGTTATCTCTTAAAGATTGTGATAAGTCCCTAAATATTTTAAATATACATAAAAAAGTAAAATAGCAATCATGCCTAAACTTTACCTTAAAGGGAAAACAACTCTTCATTTTTTTTGGGAAAAAGTGTCATAAATCGAATTGCTTACACGTATATGTAAAACAGAAAGGCTACGTGAAAAAAAATGCTTGTTGTGGTGGAGTATAACAGTACCGTAAAATACATTAAAATGGAGATTCACCTTCATAAAAAGAGACCAAATGCTAATGTCATAGACCAAGAAGCATTAAAACACTCTGAAGACTGCTTCACAACACTACATACATATTAATTTATATAAAACCTGCTTACAATAATTTATTTTGAAATATCAGATATATATTCTTGTGATTTCTTTAAACAGTTGAGCACTGAAAACCCAGAGATTCAAAGTTTTTTTAGGAGCTGCATCACTTGACAGCTTAACACTAGAAATCAATAAAATCGAAATACTAGTATGAAGAAATTAAGTATCTCTTTTCTAAAATGTATGCTTACCAGTACAATGCTAGATAAACGAAGTGTTTGGTAAATAATAGATCCCACATTTATGCTGATCTGAGGCTAAAACAACCTTGGTTCACAAAATTGAAATCAAAAACTATTTCTAAGCAAGTACAGCTCTGTCCACGTACCAGATTGAGCACTGACTGTCTGCCCCCCCCCCCCCCCGACCACATTTTTTCCATAGTTTGCTCTTCTTAAAATCTTTAATCAATTATAATTTTGTTTTGAACTCCTATCATATCAATATGCTGTAAAATAGAAAACTACTCTCCACACAGGTTGACCGCATTGCCATAAACATTTGATTTAGCATGCCGAAATAAGTCCATAACAACGTAAATAATGCGGTAAAATACATACCTTTTCCGTCTTCTGAGGCTCCCCTCTTCATTTGCCACTTATTTTTCTACATGACCTCAAGGTAAAAGAAACATCATATGTCCTCATTACAAGAGGTTTGTCTTTAATTACCGTAAGCTCTTCACCTACGCTCCCGAGGGCATTATTTTAGTGATGACAAAATACAGCCTCGTTGTAAATCTTTACAAAGGTAATGTGTTTGTTGTGACCGCTATCCACACTTGTCACAACTAATGCATTTTCAGCTCTGTTTCTCCAGTGTGATTACGACTCGATATCACCAAGGAGTTATAACTCCTTGATATCACTGCAAGGTTGGGTGAGACAGCATTGAGAAAAATACTGGTTTTACAGCTATGAATTAAAAAGTGGCATGGGGGATTTCAAACAGTTTGAAACACCAATTATCTTTTTATTAGCGCGTTATCCAATTATCATCTCTAATTCTAATTCTAATTTTCCTACAGGGAAACAAATATTTCCTTCTCGGTCCCTTTGGTTCGCGCACTTGATTCAATGTTTTTAGCGATTGCTGATTAGATAACTAGATAAGATCCGTATTATTAATTTAGATCGCCATGGTCTTATTGCAACAATTGAGATTTCAAAAAGAAATAAATACATCAAGTAGGCCAACTTTTACTAATTTGAATGGTTTCGTCTTTTTTTCCGAATTGGACATGGTAAGTCAATTTGGATATTTGAACACTATATTTTCAAACGCATTAGCATAGGTCGGGGAAAGGTATAGGACAATCTTTGAGTGTAGGAAGGGGGAGGCAGTGGCGGATTAAGAGGGGGTCAGGGGGGTCCTGACCCCCCCCCCTCGATTTCTGGTCCCCTCTTGAAATTAGAATTTTGACTAGCTGAATCATAGTTCTAAGCCGTACCAAATGGCACCATATATGCATTCGCCCTCTAACATACCAAAATTTTTCGGGGGCCTTCAGCGAACCCCACGCATCTGCATATCCCCCCCCCCCCCACCCCCTTCAAGTAGTCCTGGATCCGCCCCTGGGATGGGAGAGGTCGCAACTTCCAACAAGATGTCAGGTTTATTTTCCTATTCATGCAATTCACGAGGCTGTTTTTCCAAACTTTGAACATCAATACATAAAAGCACAGTATCCTTAACTACAGTATACTTCTATTTTCATAAGGCTTTTTGCCTGCGCATTGTTCTCATATTTTTATATACAGACACTTAAAGACACGTATACATTCTGATCGGTTAGTCTGTCCATTCGCCTTATAACTGCCAAACTGTATTTTTGTTTTACTTTAAATTTACTGAGAGGCCTTGTCTGGTAAAGAGGCAGGTTGCTTGCGAAAAGCAGCATGATCGGTTCCCATGTACGGTAAATATTCTGGTTTTTGATACTACTGGTGACGTTTGGCTCATATTTAACCGTATTTTTGTTTATTTTTACCGTTTTACTGTAATAATTGATTTTTTGCGTGTATTTTATTGATGTTCCTTCCGTATAACCAGTTGATCCATTCATCCGTTGAAAACCAAGGAAAGTATAAAATTTTGTAACATGTTTTCATTTTATCTCAAAATGACAGTTCCACTGCATATGTGCATTAACATATAAATTCCAGAATATTTCATAAACGGCTCCCTGGGCGGGTTAAGGTGGGGGGGGGGGGGGGCTCACATAGTACTGTGTAGTAGGCTTACTGTACCTGCAGCTCCTCTTTTTCTTGACAGTGTGGAGCATCTCATTCTACTAATATCGTTCCTTCTAATTTTTTTTTACTTAGTTTAAAAATGCAACTTAAATTTATCTGAATTTTATTACACTAACGTTACTTTAAATTCAGCATTCCTTTTAACGCACATGATAGCACACACGATTCGACTTCAGTAATGTTTTGTAATGGAGAAGGGTGACCTTCGGACTCTCAAGGTATTCTCACCTCTGATTGGTCTAAACCCCAGAGTCGTTAGTTTCCGTAACCTCTCGTTAAAACTTCGGTTATTTACCATGGCGGACAGAAGTTGGTGTTATGTGTATGGATAATAATTTGCTAAATGTTTCTCCATGAAGCCCCGCTAACGCCTATAGCTATGGCTAAAAGTGATATATTTGATACAGATTCCAGTGATGAAGATCAGAAGAAGATAGACGACTGGGAGGAATCTGACAATGACAAGTTTATCCACAGTGGGCATTTTATGTTGAGCCGAGTCCATGGGTATGACGACGAAAAAACAATTTCCGACCAGCCCGTTCCCCCTGTCTCGAAGGCTTCAGGGGGTTATGACTTTGCCACTGCTAGTCGGGAACCTCAGCAAACATACAATTTTGGTGATGGAACCCTTCATGGGATCTGCTTTACAATCGACGATTCTTTCACCAAGCTGTTTGAATGCATGACCCTAGCTTACAGGTAAATCATGGTCCGTAAACCATACGTGTTTTAATAGGTCACAACGCATTTCTTTACAAAAAAAAAAAAAATTATAAGGCAAGATTTGGACACGCTACTAGACTTCCGTACGTGGTATGGTATGTGATATTTATTTTACACATTTTGAATATATTTGATAAAACAAAGTTGAATATTAACGCTGTATCAGATAACAATCGCCCACTCCATAAACACATCAGCTGATATGTGATATGGGAAAAGTACAGCAAAGTTTTTCAGTTGGTTATTGAGTCATGGTGAGTTTTGTGCAGACATCCTATATATATAACTTGCATCCTGAAAATTTTCCTTGTACAATGCACTATTGTGGGCGTTGTTCACTGGTCAGTCTGCTATTTGCTGAGCCAACTAATTGCCTCCTCCTCATTCGTCCATACAGAGGTGTGCCTTTTGTCATGGTAGCCATGGGCATGTCCTTATCTGTCATGATCATCTAATGGTGGTAGAAAGAGTGGGTTTGACTTATAAAAGGAAGGATATTTACCTTTTCCTAATCTTGTCTGAGAATTTTTCTATTACTGTTATCAGCAAAAGCTATTACAAAATATGATACTCCTAACTGTGGGTGTTATTTTTACCATTTTGTCATTTCGTGCAATTTTTATAAAATGAGAATTCTTAATGCTCACAGTTATATAGTAATATTTGGATGAATGTTATATAAATGTGTGTAAAGTATTTGCACAGTAAACATGGCTATGTATTTATATATTTTTTAAATATATAATAATACCCCTTTCAATAACTTTCATTATGCATTTTATAGTAAGTTCTAAATAAAAAGTTCTATTACATGTTCATAGTGCAGAAGTAGGAAATAATTTCTCACATTTGATACCTAACATTTGAAGTGTCATTGCATGTTACAGGGCATTCTGAGATAAGTGTTGCATGTCAGTTGTATGTTTGGTGAAGCGGAGTATATGTCCTCATGTCTTAACCAGACAACCATTATTCTATAGGCTATATATTCAGAACCACCTGTGCATATCCTATTAAGATATTCTTGGCATGGTCATTTATTATATGCAAGGGCTTGGGAGGGGTCAAGTTGGAATAGCACACATCTGTCATATGTGTCGATCTTGAATAGGAAAACCTGTTATGAGAGTATTTATTGAAGTGTCTCATATGATATATAAGCAACATCCATCAATGAATGGTTTTGTAACAAGTTGTGTTACAAAGTAAATTCGGATTTATCAGTGCAACTTACTTGAATTTAATAATACTTGTTTTTTGGTCACCATCCAGAACTGGGTGCTTGTTTTAAATCATATGCTTCTGACCTGGGAAAGTTTTGAAATATTTGCATTATGGATTAATACATAAAACATAATTAAGTGATTTTTTTTTCTTTTCCCTGAATTTTTCATAGGCAAAATACTGCCAAAATGAATTAAAGAAAACTAAAAAAAGTGGAAGAAGAGACATTTTAAATATTTATAACATAATTTGTCAGAAGAAGGGTTTTGTCTCATAAGATAGATATCACCTTTGACGAAATTACAAACAACATGATACAAATGTTTTTTTTTTAGTCACGAATTGTGGCATCCATTTCTACCAAGCAGCTGTTGGTAGGCAGAACAATAACTGGAGCCATGTGGCACCCCTTTTGCACTCTTGCAAAAATGCTTTATTGTAATTTTTACAGAGACTGTTGTAAGAATTATTTAACCTTTTGAAACCACAAATGGCATTCAGGGTTGTCTTTGTTATCGTTGACCTACTGCTATAAACTTGATGGGATTCTGATCAGATTTATATTTGTAGATAAATCATTATAGTGGTCAGGTTACATTATTATCAGGTGTGCACATTTCACATTGCATCAGGTATCTACATAGCAAGTCCTATTTTTAAACAGATACATCTATATTGTGAGTGAGTGAATATGTACCTATGTCACGTCTTCCTTATCTAGCATCATCGCACCAGGTCATATACTTACTATATATGTTTTTTGAGGACAGAGGGCACTGTCCTCTCATCTCTGGCCTGTTAAGATAGCATGCTTGCATATTTTGGTAGTTTGATAAAAATCCTCCTTGCAGGACATATCTTAGACCCCATTCCCATAGATATTTAGATCGATCTGTCTCCCTGGGGAGTCTCACTAGATTGGTGTCAGCTTAACAGGCATAAATGTCTGTCCCGCCCACTAAAAGCTGTAAGGGGGTTATTAACTATGGTGCACGCTAGGCCGACTGCAATTTAGCGTGAACCCTGAGGGAGTTAGGTCGATCCAGATGGATCGATCTAAATCTCTGGGAATGCAGTCTTACAGTGAGCAATGTATTTAATATGAAAGAGCAGTCTGATCAAAAAGGTGTCATTTCAGGTTATGAGGAATTTCAAATCTAATGACCTGATTTTGTGAATATTATCTTTGATCACCAATTTTGTCTGTTTGGGTTTGATTTGTTAAGATACCTGCTGTTTAATCAAGGAAAGAAGGGGGAGGGAGAGTCTGGTATGGCAAGTGATTTATATTTTACCCATTTTAGCCTTCTTAAATTTTTGAATGTAGTAGTTCATAATAGTTCATCTTACTATGCCTGCTGCTGGTTAATTTGGAAAAGTACAGAAAAATTGTTAGGTATGTAGATATATAGCCTGGCAACCAAATGCCTCATTCTGGGAAATCTTAAGTTTGGTATTTTTTTCATTTTCCTGTAAACGTGTTCTCTCTATAGATAGCACTCAGAGGCAAGTAAATGATAAGATGATGCAATCTGTTTGATATACAAGCCACCCTTGTGATATGTGCTGTCTGGATATGTGCACAGAAATACAAAGAAAAACTAAGATCATCTGGTAAAAGACTATCATTCCATCATTGCTCCCAGCTGGGGTACCTACAGTGCATCCATACTTAACCTTCTGATGCTGAATAAATTATTTTCCTCTGTTAAGTGTTTAAAAATTGAAATGATTAAGTAGTCTTTAGCCAATGTATTTTAACGTTGCTTTAGTTGAAGAAGATTATCTTAACCAACCAATGAAAAAAAAGTTATGTTAGCATGAGACTAGCCTTGTATTAAGTATTGTAAATGTGCAATTTTGGCACTTTTGCAATGTACCTGTAATGTTACGAGCGGAGGAGCGCACACCAGACGACACGTTGTTAATAATCACTCAACTGCAGCACACCGCCGCGCTTTATTCTAATTGGATAATATTACATNTGTTATCGTTGACCTACTGCTATAAACTTGGTGGGATTCTGATCAGATTTATATTTGTAGATAAATCATTATAGTGGTTAGGTTACATTATTATCAGGTGTGCACATTTCACATTGCATCAGGTATCTACATAGCAAGTCCTATTTTTAAACAGATACATCTATATTGTGAGTGAGTGAATATGTACCTATGTCACGTCTTCCTTATCTAGCATCACTGCACCAGGTCATATACTTACTATATATGTTTTTTGAGGACAGGGCACTGTCCTCTCATCTCTGGCCTGTTAAGATAGCATTGGTAGTTAGATAAAAATCCTCCATGCAGGACATCTTAGACCCTCCCATAGATATTTAGATCGATCTGTCCCCCTGGGGAGTCTCACTAGATTGGTGTCAGCTTAACAGGCTTAAATGTCTGTCCCACCTACTAAAAGCTGTAAGGGGGTAATTAACTATGGTGCACATTCGGCTGACTGCAATTTAGCGTGAATGCCCAGGGAGTTAGGTTGATCCAGATGGATCAATCTAAATCTCTGGGAATGCAGTCTTACAGTGAGCAATGTATTTAATATGAAAGAGCAGTCTGATCAAAAAGGTGTCATTTCAGGTTATGAGGAATTTCAAATCTAATGACCTGATTTTGTGAATATTATCTTCGATCACCAATTCACCAAAAAAAGTCTGTTTGGGTTTGATTTGTTAAGATACCTGCTGTTTAATCAAGGAAAGAAGGGGGAGAGAGAGTCTGGTATGGCAAGTGATTTATATTTTACCCATTTCAGCCTTCTTAAATTTTTGGATGTAGTAGTTCATAATAGTTCATCTTACTATGCCTGCTGCTGGTTAATTTGGAAAAGTACAGAAAAATTGTTAGGTATGTAGATATATAGCCTGGCAACCAAATGCCTCATTCTGGGAAATCTTAAGTTTGGTATTTTCTTCATTTTCCTGTAAACGTGTTCTCTCTATAGATAGCACTCAGAGGCAAGTTAATGATAAGATGATGCAATCTGTTTGATATACAAGCCACCCTTGTGATATGTGCTGTCTGGATATGTGCACAGAAATACAAAGAAAAACTAAGATCATCTGGTAAAAGACTATCATTCCATCATTGCTCCCAGCTGGGGTACCTACAGTGCATCCATACTTAACCTTCTGATGCTGAATAAATTATTTTCCTCTGTTAAGTGTTTAAAAATTGAAATGATTAAGTAGTCTTTAGCCAATGTATTTTAACGTTGCTTTAGTTGAAGAAGATTATCTTAACCAATCAATGAAAAAAATGTTATGTTAGCATGAGACTAGCCTTGTATTAAGTATTGTAAATGTGCAATTTTGGCACTTTTGCAATGTACCCCCCCCCCCCCAACCATGCAAGTTTGCGATATTCAATATTTTCTCAAAATTTATTTGTGTGTTGACTTTGAGAAATGTCAAAAATTAGTATTAAAAATTAGAGAGTTAAAGGGGGGGATTCTGCAAAAGTACTCATTTTTTTCCTTTCTTAGTAGCAGGAGCTCCTTTATTACAGCAGTCCCCTAGGAGAAGTTAATGTTTGTGAACAGACCAATATTTTATCACTGGCATGTAGCTTCTGTGCAAAATTAATCCTTGGCTTGTGCCAGGAATCAAGTTCAACTTTGTAAACAACACTTGTTATCGGTGTAACATGTATATATCCAGCACTGTCTGTCAGTATGACCTTCAGGATTCACAGTTGACTGCCAGTGCCCTGGTTGTGTGCATAAATGTTTTTTTCAAAGACATAATTGCATAGAAAGTAGGCTGGGTATAGCTTGCAACTTGTATTATATAGCCAGTTTACCTGTACTGGATGAACTGATGGTTTTAAATTAGACAATTTCAAATGATTTGAACCTTGCAATTACTAGGAAATAAATTTTTTTTTTTTTTTTTTTTGCTTTTTTAGTTATAACATTTTTGTGGCAATATAAAGTCACTCATCCCCCTTGCCAATTTGTTATTTATTTTTAGAGTAAATAAAACCACAGTGAGACAGAAAGCAGGGCTTTTCAACTTTCTATATAAAGTTGACTTTGGAGCTGTGAATATAAAAAAATTACAGCTGTAAACCACACTCTTAGGCTTCGTTCACATGCAATGTCTATTTTCTAAATTCTATTTTCTATTCGCGCTATCTTATGATCTCGGTCTGTGCACTGAATATCCCTTATAGTAACTTATAGTAACTGGCTCGCGCTGCCAGTAATTACGCGGCGGGATATTCAGTGCACAGACCGAGTTCATAAGACATACCGAAAATAGAAAATAGAATTTAGAAAATAGACATTGCATGTGAACGAAGCCTTATTTAAGATAGGTTAAATACTCAAGAAATATAATGTTCTTGTAACTTTGAATGAAGTCAGTAGTATTGAAAAACTCCGAACTTTGTCTTCTGAGATTTTTATTGGTCAACTCAGTGTGTTTTAAGGTTCACCATATCTGACTAATGTTGTTTAAGGAATCCACCGAAATTTTGAGCTTGGAAATCAAGGCTTTTTTTGTAAAAAATATAATTAAATTAAAAAAAAATAGCCGTACATACTCTTTTATATGAACTTTTCCTTACTTTTCATCATCTAGCTATCTGCATCATTTTCTTGTGATTGTAATTAAAGAATAATAATTAATGCACTTGAGCAATGACTGGTTTGATCTGTCACACTGGAAGCTGTAGACAAACAAGACTTACCACATCTTATTGACACTATACAGGTAAGCTAAAGCTAGAAAGACTTAATTTTCGGGAGTTATATTTTTAATTATTGCCTGTCCTTTGTAGAATTTATAAATCAGAGTGTTATCAGTGGACCTGTACCATGAATGCACTCGTGCATTTCTCAGTTTTGATCTTCATTTAAGAAAATGCAAATAGATTTGAAAAAATCAGTGAGGTAGCGCAAATGATCTTTGTTTACCAGTTTCAGATCTATTTTTAGCTGAAGGCATGTAGTGATATAAACAACCTTCACTAAAAGATTGGCTTTATGCCAGACCATCTATAATACCAGCTGGTTCAAATTGTACTTAAAAATTAAATGAATTGAAAAGTGAGATTTGTTTTCTATATTTAAACTGATATTCTTATTTACTGGCAACCTGTACTTGTTGAAATGCTTGGTTTCTGAAGCATTTACCTCTCATATATTTGGCTTGAATAGTGAAGTTTAAAGCTAATCTTGAAAGGAAGTTATTGTTTATTGAATAAAAAAGGAAGTTATTGTTTATTGAATAAAAAAGACTAAGAAAAGTAGTATCACATTTTCATGTATTTCAGAAATGTAGTATCACATTTTAATGTATTGACAGTAGCAGTGTCTGTACATATTGTCATCATTTTTGTCCATTTGTGTGGACAGAGCATATATTTGTCATGAGTGTGACCTGGTGATGTGCAGAAAAATGACTAAAAGTCACCAATGTTGAAATCATATGCATAATCTGTGTTTGCCTTGTCCTTTTGAAACAATGGCATTTATATCTGCAGTGCTTGTGCACTGTTATTGGGACGGGTGTCTGGAGATAAACTTTGACCTCAACAGGGGAGGTCAGAATGTAGTTGCAGGTATGTCAACTCACTCATTGAGCGCACATAGGTGAAAACTTAAATACTGAAGGTGCAAAGGACTGTTGCCTGCACTACAAGAATTCTGTGCATGTAGGCCCTCCCAATTCTGGGCTATTTTTCTGCTAGTTTTTGTTTATGTGCGATTTATTATTGCATGCTGTATTTTTACTTTAACCATGCTAGTCCAGAGGACCTGTGGAATCAAAAGATTTGCAGATCTACTGGTATTTCAAGTGACCATGACATGTCAGACAGGCAATTTCCCCATGTCTTATTGGTGCTCACTAATCTGCCCCATTAGTTTTCACATTCAGTTTGTAAAGAAATATAAATCAATTTTGCATTTTCAGATTTTTGAAGTTTTTTTTTCTGACCATGCAGGGCATGAAGTGCAGAGGAACTTTTTATTTTTGGTAAATGTTTGTCCTAGACATTGACTGGCCTTTGTTGTGTCATTCTTTCAAAAGAAAAGGCGACAAACTACTAGTAAAACTTTATTTCACTCAATATCTGGTGTTTGTCTTGTTATCCCTCCCCCCCCCCCCCCCCCCC